TCTATAAGGTGCCACAGGACTCTTTGCTGCTTTTAAAGTCAAGATATACCACATCTACTGCTTAACCAAGAAAATCCCCCACTTCGTCACACCCTCATAATCACAAGGCATGTTACCCTGTCAAAGAAAGCTGTTAGGTTGGTTTGATACAATTTGTTTTTGACAAATCCATGCTGACTGTTACTTATCACCTTATTATCTTCTAGGTGTTTGCAAATTGATTGCTTAATTATTTGCTCCATTATCTTTCTGGGTACTGAAGTTAAACTGACTGGTCTGTGATTCCCCGAGTTGTCCTTATTCCCCTCTTTATAGATTGGCACTATATTTGCCCTTTTCCAGTCCTCTAGAATCTCTCCCGTCTTCCATGACTTTTCACAGATAATTGCTAATGGCTCAGATATCTCCTCAGTCAGTTGAGTATTCTAGGATGCATTTCATCAGGCCCTGGTGACTTGAAGACATCTAACTTGTCTAAGTAATTTTTAACTAAGTAATTTTCCCTATTTTAGCCTCTGATGCTACCTCATTTTCACTAGCATTCACTAAGTTAGATGTCCAATCACTACAAGCCTTTTTGGTGAAAACTAAAACAAAAAAGTCATTAAACACTTCTGCCATTCTACATTTCCAGTTATTGTTTCCCCCCCCCATTGAGTATCAGGCCTACCCTGTCCTTGGTCTTCCTCTTGCTTCTTATTTATTGTGTAGAATCTATCCACCCATCCACCTGTACCATCCATCTATCCAGCAGCCAGCCACTTGCACTATCCACCCACCCATCCATCCACCCACCTGCACCATCAATCTATCCAGCAGCCAGCCACCTGCACAATCCATCCATCCATCCTTCCACCTGCAGTTTCTGTCTCCTATCGCCTTGGTGTCTGATGCTAGGTGCTGATCACACGGGTGACCAGCGAGATCTAGCAAGGATGGGGGGAAGCAACCTCACAGTCCCATAAGCATGGGGGGGTGACCTGCCTTGGGGGGGGGGACAGGTCAAGGTCCCTCCCGCACCAGGCATTGGCAGTCCGGCCCCCCCAGCAGTGCCCATGGGGTGGAGCGGATCCTTACCAGGTTCACCTCCTTCTTCAGCTCGTCCAACTCTTTCTCCTTCTGCTTCTTTTTGCCACCGCCATTCTCGGAGGTGGTTGCCGCTGGCGAATACTCCCGCCCAACCTGCCGGGGGAGGGGAGGGGGAAGAAAGAGGGGTAGTGTTACCTCCGTGGGCAGGGGACTCCAGAAGCCACACAGACCCACAGGGAGGAGAGAGACGCAGGGAGGAGGAGCACCCCAACCCACGGCAGCCATGCGGCACGAAGGTCACGACCAGGCAGGGAGCCCAGGACTGGCTGGCCCGTGGCCACCCCCTGGCAGATCCAGAACCGGGTCAGAGTGTCCCCCTGGCAGAAGGTGCTGGGTGGCAAGTGGGAATGAACTCAGTGCAGACAGAGTCCGTCCCCTCCCGCTCCCTCCTCCCCCCGTGCCAGGTCCTCAGCCAGGACTTCAGAGCAACCAATGCAGAAGAGAACCCAGCTCTAGCCACCTGGCAGCTCAGGACAGCCCAAGTGTCCTGCCCCTGGATGCTCTGGGCCTCAGACAAAACCTAGGCAAGTCTCCAGGGAACGGCTTCTCCTGCAGCAGAGCTGAGAGATTCCTGGTTTCTCTCCCCCAACACTTGCTGTGGCAGGTCAGGCCTGGGGGAGACGAGACGCATAAGTGGAAGAGTGGGAGTCATGTTCCCCCTACCCCCCTGCCCTGCCTGGATGCAAGAGATCAGAAAAGCGGGACCACAGCCAGGAACAGGAGAATGGATGTTTCCTCAGGCTGCCCCATCTGTGGGTCTCTCTGCACCAATTGCCTCTCATCTTACACTTAGATTGGAAGCTGTTTGGGGCAGGGGCTGTCTCTTTGTTCTATGTTCGTACAGTGCCTAGTGCCATGGGGTCCGGTGTATGGGTGGGGTGCTGAGGTGCTACCGTAATACACCTAATAAATAACGTACAGCGCCTAGCACCATGGGGTCCTGGTCTGTGGCTGGAACTCCGGCACACTACTGTAATACACCTAATAAATAATGTACAGTGCCTAGCACCATGGGGTCCTGGTCTGTGGCTGGGACTCCGACACACTACCGTAATACACCTAATAAATAATGTACAGCGCCTAGCACCATGGGGTCCTGGTCTGTGGCTGGGGGCAGGGAGACATGCTCTGGAAATGCTCTTCTGAGCTCTGCCACTGACTTGCGAGTCACTTTCATGCTCTGTGCCTCAGTTTCCCCCTCTGCAAAGTGGGGATGATCCTGACTCCCCTCCCAGGGGTGTCAGGCTCAGTTCGCGCATGAGTGCGAAGTGCTTTGAGATCCTCCAAGGGATGGGCAAAAGCTCATGGCCCTGTGGATGATGGCATTCCCAGTGCCCCTGTCCCCACGGTCTGCAGGTGGCGGACTGCTTCTGCTCCACGCAGGAGCCCCAGAGCCAGAATGCCAGGAGAGAGGCTATTCCTATCCCAGCATTCCCACGCGGAGCGGTCACAGGCAGTGGTGGGAATCACATCAGGATTCCTGCTCTTGGGAGCTTCCTGCCCCGGTTTGTGAGCCCAGCAGCCTGGAGAGCTCGCGGAGACAGCTGGTGTTTGGGAACCGAACTCAAGTCCCAAATCTTCCAAGTTCCCTCTGCGCTAAGCAAACAACACGGGGGGGGGGGGGGGGGGGCTGGAACCTCTAGCTGTCCTGCCAATGCTGCCCTGGCATAGACAGCACTGTGCCCTGCATGCTATGCCAGTGACTTCACCCACCCCAGGGACACTCTGCCAAAGCAGAGACACTGAATTTCCCTGGTTCCTGCTGCTTTGGGCTGGTGGCTGCTCCGGAGGGGGCTCTGGGATTTGTTACTGTGGGCCCCCAGGAGGAGGGGCAGGGGTTGCTTGAGAGGAGACTGGCACATCCTGGGATGATTCCACTGGCCCTCCCCGCGCCGGTGGGGCATCCGGGAGCCCAGCGGGGCATGGGCCCCCACGGGTGATGTGGGGGTCGAAGACGGGGACTCGAGTGCGCAGCTTGTGGGAGCGGGGCCAGGCAGCCGGGAAAGCAGCGTTTATTCAAAGGCAGAAAATAAAGAGGACCTCAGCTCTCTGCTGTCATGGAAAAGTCCCCCCAGTGCCAAGAACAACCGCTGTGAGCAAAGGGTCACGTTACGGCGGGGGGGGGGAGTAGCGATGGGGGGAAGGGAGGGAGGCATTGAAACTGTTAGGAACCCTGAAAGCAGCCACAATTTGGGGAGAGTCCCCGGGACAAGGCCAGCCTGCCAACTGCAACTCCCCATGTATCGTTATGGTGCATTTCCAGAGCATGTCTCCCTGCCCCTGGCCACGACTGCGGTGGGCATTCTGCACGGCCCCAGCTATGATTTGGGGGTGCCTTCTTCACAGGCCCCGCTGGTTTCTGCCCCCGGCTCTGGGCCTCTCCCGTTCCCCTGTATCGATCGAAGCGGAACCCCTTCCCCCGGGGCTGGGGGCGCTGGCTCCAGTTCCAGCATGCCGGGCTCCCTCTCCTCCGGTTCCACTCCGGGGAACAGCCTGTAACAGTGAGAGCGAGGGGGACAGGTGCAGGCCCAGGGGGATCTACTGCAGTGCAATGAGAGCCAACCATTTCAAAGGCAGTCCCAGCTCAGCCCCTCCCCCCCCCAAGCTAGGGTACGCACAGGCATCTCCCACCGTGAACCTGGGTCTGGGTCAGCAGGCTCCTTAAGAAGACGGGGTAGGAGGCTGGAGTGCACCCTCTTAAAGGAGTCTGGGATTTGCCACTCCAGATCACACCCCCTGGCCCATCTAACCCAGCAGTTCTGGATCAGACCCCCTGGTCCCTCTATCCAGTAACCCACTTTCTTCCACATCTGAACAGGCCATTGGTTCATACGTGCAGTACCCTGACCTCTGCAGCTGCCGAGATACGACTTTCCTCCCCAACACCCTCCTCCCCTGCACCCAGCCACGTAGGCAATGGGGGATCCTTCCTGACCCCTGCAGCTCCCCGCCCTGCAGCATGAGAGTCGATCACCCCGACCTTGGCCCCCTTTGCATTTTACAAACATATCTCCAGCCTTTTTTGGCTCTGCCCATGCCGGGGGACCCCGGCAGCCCAGTTAAAGGACTGTTTGGTGCCGCCGGTCCAGGCAGGATCGCACGGTCTTGGGACACAGCTGGTCCCCAGGGTGACTCGGTCAGTTTCGCAGCTCAGACGGGGCTGTGTTTGACTGGATCCTATTTGACTTGGAGAGGCAGATCCAATTAGGGAACGATTCCCTGGGGTTTATGATCAGGGCAGTAAGGATGCCAGAGGGCCCTGGTCTGCAAGGGAAGTCATGTCTGTCTCCAGAGACTGGAGGAGAGTCTGAGCCAAAAGCCCCCTGTAGGAAGAAAGAGAGCGAGGAAGAAAGTGTCTCTCAGGCCATGAATGGGGAAGGGAGAATAGAGCCTCCTTTCTGCTCCATATAAAGGGCTGAATAGTCCTGGCACTTCCCAGGATTCATGAGTCCAGCGTCCTGCCTGTGGTTTCCATGGCTCTTCGGGATCCTTTGCCGTGCGGCGAGGAGCTAGCTAAGGAGCTCTCTGTTCTGTTTGACAACCCCTTGCTCCCAGCAAAGATCCCAAAGCACCTTCCAGGATCTGCTGCTCCAGCTGCCGAAACGCAGCCCCTTCTGGGGTGGGATGCAGCAGCCAAGCGGAACAGAACCCTATGCCCAGCTGTGTGTGGGCAAGGCCCCAGGGTTAACACGCTGCCTCTTGCCATAAGTACTTGGATCTTTAATGACAACGGTTAGGCAAACATTGCTTAAACCCGGCACTTACAGCCAGCTACCCCTGCCATCGCCAGCACCACCCCCTAAGCAGCCAGCACGGACCTTGCCCTGCTTTGGGGCTCTGGACAGGGGGCAGCAAAGCCCCCCAAAGCTGGGCTAGTACCGGTGGGACCCCCTATCTTTCAGTCATAGAGGCTGGATTACCATGACATGGTATATCTGGTATATCTCTGGGAATATCCGCCCCCCCCCTCCCCAGCTCTCTGCCCCCCACCCTCACAACCTCCAAGTGCCAAACGATGCCCGATAGAGGGACCATCGAGCAGCAGGAGGAGACCTGGCAGAACGAGCCCCTGCCTGTAGTCAGTGGCACAGGTGAGTTCGATGCTCTGGGCCCTATCCTGAGCTCTTTGTGTCCCCCACACCTCCCAGTCTCTCTCTGGGTGCGCTAGCTACAGGATCAGGGCCATTACAGGAGCCATGCTCATGGGGCTGCAGTTCTGATCCCTAACACTAGAGGGGGACCCAGAGCTCCAGGCTGGGATTTACATGGGGCCAATGGCCTGGAAGCATATTACAGGTCCTAGACCCCCACACACTGCCCCAGCTGTGCCTTGCCTCTTCCAGGTGACTGGGTGGGGCAGAGACCTATACAGGGAGTCGCTGGGGGCCAGATGAGGAGTGTTAAAGCCCCAGCTTGGGGAGGTTACATACACCTGCACCATGCCCATGGTACAGAGCAGGACTGTACCAGGACTCCTGGATTCTGTTCCCACTTCCGTGACAGACTTGTAGTGAGAACTTAAGCAAGTCCCTGCACGACTCTGTGGCTTGGTTTCCCCAGCTGGAGGCTGGGGTAATACCACCGACCACACGGGGTGCTGTTGGGTTTAATTAACGTCTGCCCAGAATGCCAAGACTCTCAAAGGGAAGGGGCTCGAGAAGGAGTGGCGTTTGGATCCGAATCCCCACCGGAGCCCTGCTGCTCCATCCCTGTCCACTCTGCCTTTCCATAGTCTCTCCTAGGCCAATGATTCCCAGGGAGGGGGGTCAAGATGTGACCCTGTGGCTCATCTACCCCATCCTCCCTCCTGCATCTCTTTCTAGCTGGCATCTCTTGGCAGGCAAGTGCCATGCCTGGGTGGCTGCACAGAGAGTTGTGAGTGAGGTACCAGACTCTGAGATTTAGGGGCCACATCTGCCCAGCAAACACCGTCTAAATTCCCCAAATCCTGTCCCAGCGGGCATCTGGCTCAGCATGACCCTGGTGTGGAATCTCTGAATGGGGGGGGGGGTCACACTTCTTTGGTCCCTGTGGCATCTGGCCCGCTGTCATTTTCAACAGTGCAATGAACTGGCTAGTGCATCTGTGCATGACTGCCTTCTACTGGCTGGGATCCCAACTAATTAGCTGTGTGTCATAGGCCTCATACTGCTCCTAGGTAATGGGGATTCTCCTTTCGCTCAGAGGTGGTTTTGGATCAGAGGTCTGGTCCTGCTGCGGATGTGAAGTTTTCAGGGGTGCCACGGAACACAGAAACGTGACAATTGTGGCAGTTCTCATAGAGAAATAACAGTGAAAAACTGTACCCTGCTTCATTTATGTTCCCTCTGACCCCGAAAGTGTCACCAGAGCAACAGCTGTGAAATCTCTTCTTGCAAGATACTGTATCAATGCAAAATGTTGTTATTGGGTATTCATGTCGCTTTTCAAAAAATGGGTGGGTTTTGCCATGGAAAATTTTGATGAAAACAGGCCCAAAATTCCTTCTCATCTAAATTTTCCATGGAAAAATTACTTTTTTGCACCAGAAATTCAAATAACGAAAAATGAGCTCAGAAAAGGGGAATTAGTGCGTTCTTGGCCAAAATATTTCGGTTTTCAGGTGTTCCATTTTTCCAACAAACAAAAAGTTTTATTGAGTCGAAAACCTGATTTCCCGCTGAAAATAAATTTCCACAGAAAATTTTCAGCCATCCCTAATCATTAGAGCAAGAGCTCGTCACATGGCAAACCTCTTCAAAAGGATCCGGATAATAAAAGAACGATAAATGCTATTGCAGGCCCTGATCCTGTGCGGAACTCCATGCGGGCAGTTCTGTGCGCCCACACGCAGATCAGGTTCTATCCCCTAGGCAGCACTTATTGTAGGGTTGTGACCACTCTTAGCCCTGTATGTTTCCTATGCATGTCTCCATGCTATCCCCCATTCTGAGTGCTTCCTGTGGGCACAGGAAATTGTTTTCCCCACTGAAGCTGTTTAAAGAGAAGAGTTATTTTTCAGGCAATGTGGTTTTCATTCTCCCTTCTGTATAAGATTATTGCTTGGCTGTAAAAATACTATTAAAAGAATCCTTCTGCGAACAGCTCTTTGCCCCTCCATGGTGCCTCCCACTTGGGAACTTCAAAGGTGAATCAAAATTCTAACAAACCTGTGATCATCTGGGAACATCCCAGCTATGGGGCTTCAGAAGTACAGCAGGGACGGAACCCACAGCACAGCCCCCCTGCCATCTGAGCCTGAGGAGAATCTCTACAAGCACTATAGGGTCTAGGATACACAACTGATCAATCCTGGATCCACCCATCAGAGGGAGATATACGCATTAGTCAGTTGGTGACACTGAAGTGGCTTGCTCAAGGTCACACCACAAGTCAGTGACAGGATTGGAAACAGAACCCAGGGGTCCTGACAGTGCCGCTTACCCACTAGACTCCACTGTCTCCTAGAGCTGGAGACAGAACCCAGGAGTCCTGACAACCAGATCCCTGCTCTCATCACTAGACCCCATTCATCTCCCAGTACTGGAACTAGAAACGGGGAGTCCTGACTGGCAGTTCCCTAGTCTACTCACTGCCTTCCTAAACTGTCACTTCATCATCCTTCTTCTAAACACTGTTTGCTGTATAGCCCGTTCCCCATGTTCTCTTTCAGTTTCCTGTGAGTCGTGTGTTAGGAGCAGTGTATAAATCTAGTTAATGAATTCATGCTCCATCCCTAGCTCCACAAAGGTTCCCAGGCTCTGGCATTTCCTACAGATCTGGCCATTCTACATACATACATAAATCAACCCACTCTGCATTTCAGCTTCTGGGGAACTAATTAGCAAAGCAGAGCGAGGCGTTCCACGTTGCAGGTCGGAGGAATTCTGTTCTGCGTTTCAAGGAATTTGGGGCACATGCCCCCCTCTCCCCAAACTACCCCACAATGCTGCAAAGCCCACCCCCGATAATGCAAGGGGGGGTTGATGGCTGGGCTGGATTGCTCTTTCCGAAATGTCCCTCGTGTCTCGACAGCGTTCGGGAGGCCAAGGAGGTTTAAGGGGCAGTGGAGTGGAGCCAGCTTGCACCAGTATTTTTTAATGCCAGCTGCAAAAAGTTCCCGAAGAGCTGAAAACACCAGGGGGGAACCGCACTTGATTCAAACAAACTTCCTGGCTAAGCCAGCTCTCTGATCCCGGCGGTGGCATGCAGAGGCAGCCTACGGCTCAAAATAATCCCCCGGGGCCAATGCCCCGGCCAACTCCTTCACCCCCACCTGGAGTCTGACCCAGCGCTGGCGAGGGGGCTGTTTACCCAGCGGGCACACTGTTTGGTAAGCGGTCCCCTCCGTCGCATTGTTCGCCTGGTTGCAAAAATGTTTCCCTGCAGTGAAGGGGAGGGGGTGGATTGGAAATGGCAATTAGGGAATGAGAGACCAGGCCCGGCGCAGCGGGGGGCCCTGCCCAGTGCTTAAGTTGTAATGAAAGAGGTGCCAGGGCTCAAGCCATTTTTTTTTTACTTTCATAACTGATACAGCAAGCCCAGAGGTGCCAGGCTCTGAACTGCCAGGCCCAGAGGTGCCGGGGCTCTGAACTGCGAAGCCCAGAGGTGCCGGGTTTCTGAACTGCCAAGCCCAGAAGTGCCGGGGCTCTGAACTGCCAAGCCCAGAGGTGCCGGGTTTCTGAACTGCCAAGCCCAGAGGTGCCGGGGCTCTGAAGTGCCAGGCCCAGAGGTGCTGGGGCTCTGAACTACCAAGCCCAGAGGTGTCAGGCTCTGAACTGCCAGGCCCACAGGTGCCGGGTTCTGAACTGCCAGGCCCAGAGGTGCTGGAGCTATAAACTGCCAAGCCCAGAGGTGCCGGGGCTCTGAACTGCCAGGCCCAGAGGTGCTGGGGCTATAAACTGCCAAGCCCAGAGGTGCCGGGGCTCTGAACTGCGAAGCCCAGAGGTGCCAGGGCTCTGAACTGCCAGGCCCAGAGGTGCCAGGCTCTGAACTGCCAAGCCCACAGGTGCCGGGTTCTGAACTGCCAGGCCCAGAGGTGCTGGGGCTATAAACTGCCAAGCCCAGAGGTGCCGGGTTCTGAACTGCCAGGCCCAGAGGTGCCGGGGTTATGAACTGCCAAGCCCAGAGGTGCTGGCACTCAGCCCCAGCACATATTAAGCACTGGCCCTGCCCACCCTCCAAGCTACACAAACTAGCCCCGGAAAGATACATGCCCATGTTCCCCCTCGTTTGTTGCTGCTTCACTCCTGTCTCAAACTTTGAAGCTCTCCAGTCCCTCGTTCCCCAATCATGTAGCTGAGGGCAGACTCGGATAGCCGGAGTTTACCCACTTCTCCTTCGGGGAATGTGGCGTTTAGTTTAGGTTTGTTTACCCGCTTCGTTTTCTACCACTGCACCACTGTCGTCTTCAGTCCCATTCAAGCCATTCCCAGCACGATCCCCTTAAAACGCACTCAAAACGTCCTACTCACCCCTTTCCCCATTTTCGTCAGCCCGGGGCGCCGGGGGCTGGATGGAAGGAACGCAGGAGGAGGAAAGGAAAAACCAGTCGAGAGAGGAGACTTCCCAGCTTTCTTTAAATAGCTCCCTCCTTCGCCCCTCTCCTTCTCTGGACAGGGTCACTTGTTGAAACAGGATCTTGGGTCAAGAAAAACTCCACCCTCCCCCCCCCCCCTTCTCCCCCCCCCCCCCCACCCCTCCAAGCCTTGTGTCTCTGCTCCGCTAGCTGGGGAGAATCCAGGGCCAGCAATGTGCTGTGCAATGTCATGATATACACAGCCCGCCCCCCACCCCCTGCATCTGTCTGTCGGCTGTAAGGCAGAGCTCTGTTTGGGAAGTCAAAGGGCTGCATCAAGTCCCCCTTGGCTCCAGCTGACTGTGATGAATGAAGCTCCCCAGAGGGACCCAGCCTCCACACTCAGGGGCTTAGTTGGGGCTTTTTATGCACTTCCTGAGAGGAACAGACGTGGGTTTGTTTGCAGAGTTTGGGTTATAGGTCCATGTGAGTTGTGGGGGCGCACAGAACGCCTGAAATGGACGATGCACTAAGTTTAGATCTATCCTTCCACCAGCATCTATCTGTCCATCTACCTCCCACACACCCCCATCTCTTCCTCTTTCACCTGTACACCCCTCTCTAGCCATCCCCCAGTGCTGTGTTTTGCTGGGATGGTTATAGGTAAATACACAGGCAGAGTTCACGTCACCTCTCCAGCTCTGGTGCAGCTGTCGCAGTGGCCCGGAGCGGCCCCTGAGGCTGGGAACGGCTCAGGGACTCGGCCTAGGCTCTGGGAACGGCTCGGGGACTCAGCCCAGGCTCTGGTGCCGTCTATGCTGTGTGTGACTGGCTGTGGGGAGCTGCTCAGCTGCTGTCTGGGCTGTCCCCACTGTGTGGACACCAAAGCAAAGACCCTGTTCTGCCAACGTCTGAGCCAGGCCGGTCTGCTGGGTGCGGCACAGAGGGGGGAATAAGGCTCCTAGGTTCTACTCATGGCTCTGCTTCTGCTTAGGGCAGTCCCCTGCATGCTCCGTGCCTCAGTTTCCCCCGTTGCCGTGACAGGGAGAGTCAGGGGTTTAGTCCATGCCTGTGTATGAAGAGCCCTGTGCTGGCAGCTGCTAGTGAAGGGCTGAGGGCTGTTATCTCTGCAGGAGGCTCTTATCACAGATGACCAGCCACTCTGGAGCAACAGGCTGGCTCAGGATACAGAGAGCCCTCGCTGCTCAGGGGAGACCAACCACAAACCATCAGCACCCAAGTGGAGCGGGGTTGCAGCGTCTGCAGGGTGCAGAGTATTGAGGACTGTCCTGGAATTGCAAGCTATCCCTTTAAGAGTGTGGAGGGTGAGGGGGTTCCTGGTCCTGCTTGCAGGTTAGGGGCCTTTGTAGGGAAGCCTGCAAATGGCTATGGGCAGTCAGGCTGGCCCGAACCAACCTAGAGCATGGTGGGGTGAGTGGTGCCTCTCTGCATAGGGAGCAGCCTGCTTTATCTCTCACACATTCCTAGACTTCAAGGCCAGAAGGGACCATCATGATTATTTAATCCAATGTACTCAGACCTCAGTGGTTCAGGAGCCAAAATTGATTAGCATTATCCAACAGAGCCACAGGAGTGTGAATTTATTGTTTCATTTACTGTAGTACTATTCATATTTAAACAGTGTGACAAGGAAATATTTAGTTTATATTATTATATTATATATAAATTATGATCTATATATATTATTCTCACAGCAAATAAGTTGATAACTTAGTATCTTAATTGGTTAATAACTAGGGCCCTACCATATTCACAGTCCATTTTGGTAAATTTCATGGTCATAGGATTTTAAAAATCTTAAATTTCACGGTTTCAGATATTTAAATCTGATACTTCATGGTGTTGTAACTGTGGGGATCCTGACCCAAAATGGGATCATGGGCAGGGGTCACAAGGCTATTGTAGGGGGGTCACGGTATTGCCACCCTTACTTCTGCGCTGCTGCTGGTGACGGCACTGCATTCAGAGCTGGGTGGCTGGAGAGCAGCGGCGGCTGGCCGGGTACCCAGTTCTGAAGGCAGCGCTGCCGCCAGCAGCAGCACAGAAGTAAGGGTGTCAATATCATACCGTGCCACCCTTACTTCTGCGCTGCTGCCTTCAGAGCTTGGCAGCTGGTGAGTGGCGGCTGCTGGCCAGGAGCCCAGCTCAAAAGGCAGTGCCACTGCCAGCAGCAGCACAGAAGTGACGGTGGCATGGTGTGGTATTGCCACTCTTACTTCTACACTGCCACTGGGGGTGGGTCTGACCCAGCCACCCTGCCCCTCCCCAGTGCTTGGAGATGAAAAGGGCCTTGGGCTGGCTGCGTGTGTTTGTGGTGACCACAGCGACCCCCTGACCATGGCGCCCTGGGCAGTCGCCCACATCACCCACCCATAAGGCTGGCCCTGCCCCCCCTCAAAAAAGTGACAACCCCCCCTCCCCACCATGCCACCCTCACTTCTGCGCTGCTGCTGGTGGCGGTGCTTCCTTCAGAGCTGGGTGCCTGGCCGGCAGCCACCACTCTCTGGCCATCCAGCTCTGAAAGCAGCACAGAAGTAAAGGTGGCAATACTGTGACCCCTCTACAATAGCCAGATTTCACGGGGGAGACCAGATTTCACGGTCCGTGACACGTTTTTCATGGCCATGAATTTGGTAGGGCCCTATTAATAACATAGGAAAAGCAATGTGGGTCTGGCTGGAGATTCTTGCCCACATGCTCGGGGTTCTGCTGATCGCCATATTTGGGGTCGGGAAGGAATTTTCCTCCAGGGTAGATTGGCAGAGGCCCTGGAGGTTTTTCGCCTTCCTCCGCAGCATGGGGCAGGGGTCGCTTGCTGGAGGATTCTCTGCGACTTGAAGTCTTTAAATCATGATTTGGGGACTTCAACAGCTGAGTCAAGGGAGAGAATTATTCCAGGAGTGGGTGGGTCAACTTTTGTGGCCTGCATCATGCGGGAGGTCAGACTAGATGATCATAATGGTCCCTTCTGACCTTAAAGTCTATGAGTCTATGAGTCTATCCTGATTGGTTAATAACTTAGATCAGTTAATAATTAAATCACACTGTGTTAATATAACGGGCTGCAAAGAGCCGCAAGGAGACACGTTAAACAGACACTTGCAGTTCGCGAGCTGCAGTCTCGGCACCACTGATCTAGTCTGACGTCCTGCATGTGACAGGCCAGAGAACCCACCACTACCCACCTGCTCCGCCACTAGGCCGAGAACCTCTGGCTGAGTTACTGGAGTCCTTGATTTAAAGATTTCAAGTTACAGAGAATTCCCCATTTACTCCAGTTCAAACCAACAAGTGACCGTGCCCCCACGCTGCAGAGGAGGGCAAGAAACCCCCAGGGTCTCTGCCAGTCTGACCTGAAGGAAAATTCCTTCCTGACCCCAAATACGGCAGCCAGTTGGCCCCTGAGCGTGAGCTTCAGGTTACTGTGTGCTCCCGTTCTGGATTACGAGAATGAAAGTGGGCTTACATTGCAACCTGCCCAGATGGTATTTTTAGCTGTCTTTGGATATGTGCCACGAACATAACAAAGGGGTGATGGACTCAGGGGGGCAGCCAGAGGGAAGGGAGCACAGTTCTCATCCCAGCTAGTAGAGACAAGAGGGGTGAGGGGCAGATGTGTGGGAGAAAGCCACACTTGGCAGCAGTTTGCCTGAGCGTCTGAAGGCTCTGCATGAACTAGGCCTCACAGCCCTGCTTGGGGAGGGGGGTGGGGAATTCCAGTGTGCTTACCCTGTATTTCAAATGGGGAAACTGAGGCACAGAGGGGGGAAATGACTTGCCCAAGTGAGGCAGTGACAGAGCTGGCTATAGAACCCAGGAGTCCTGGCTCCTAGTCTAGCCCCTAGATATATTCCCAGGGCTGGGTGTCGAACCCAGGAGTCCTGACTCCCAAACTCTTGCTCTAACCACTAGCCTTGCTGCCTTTCCAGCAAAGAAAGCTGGGTAGGGCTGCCAGGCCTAGGGCAGCAGTCCTGTGTTAGTCTGCACACCATGTGAACGTTATCGTCAAAGCAGAAATGGGCTTGCTGGGTCTGCTGGTGCATGAACCCAGCCTGCCGTCCCCATGCAGCGCAGTGAAAACGTAGCCGGGTCAGTACGCTAAGCAGGCACAGCCGGGAAGGCACCCTGGGACAGGAAGGGGCAGTCAGCAGGAGCCGGATCTGCAGCCTTAGAAGAATCTCTTGTTAAATCAGCTCTTTCTTTACTGCCTTTGGGCTCTGCGTCCTTCCCAAAGCAACGCAGCCTGTGCTGGCCACAGACAGGGAGTCCCACGCAGAGCAACGGAAAACGCAGCCCCCGAGCCCTGAGAAAATGACACCGATTTACTGGAATGAGTTTAGAAACTGATGCCGTTAAATCGGTGCCAATCTCTCCTCGCCCGTTTCGGTTTAAGAGCGTCAGTCTGAGAGGGCAAGTCTACACCACAGCACTGCATCGGCGCAGCTGCACCAGACAGGAGAGCGCTTTGTCTATGTCTGCGGGAGAGCGAGTATGGACGGCTCTTTTACACCCCTGAGCAACGTACGCTAGATTGACTTCAGCGGTAGTGTAGACCTGCCCTCTGGAATCAAGATAAGCCACACGGGTGCCAGGAACCCTTCCCCTGAAACAGTAGCATAGATAGACGGGGAGGCTCTGCTCTACAGCAGATTGAAACTGGTTTGGCTAAACCAGGACAGTTTTCTCATGTAGACAAGGCTGGTGTCACTGAGCCTGAAGTACGGAAATCGGGGCTTTATCTCGTGCAGTGTGAAACACGGATGTGTTGCTTCCATAGGTGCCGTCCAGCTCCTCTCCGATGCCTTCAGAAGGGAGCCGCCGAAAGCAAGCACATTTCCCCGGCTTTAATTCCAGCGCTGCTCCCCCGCTGTCCGGGGGAGATTAGCCCCAGGAGCCATGGAACTCAGCCTTTGCTTCCCAAATCTGCTTTTAATTTGTTTGCTTTTTAAATCCCTTCCAAGAATGACCCCCGCCGAGTGCCGGGCTGGGATTTTCCATCCCTCATCCACACCGTTTCTCTAAGGAGCTAAGGGCCACGTGGTGGAGCTGACAAGTTCCCAGTGCCGCCGCATTACAAGGGGCTGGGAAGG